TCTAGAAATTGTAGTAGTTTTGGTGATGATGTGATTTTCAAGTGAATAACTTATTTTCCGGAACAAGATGGCATCTTTATTTGAATCATGCTTACCTTCTACATTTGTTTGCCAGTCTCTCCTTTCCTCCCTTGCCCCCAGGTGTTTTTGATGCTAATTTTGTGACTAGCTTCTTTCAGACTCTATCTCACTAGGCTTGGAAATGTGAAAAGCAAAGGATATGTATGGCTCCTTTCTTGTGAGGAACTAGGCTAGGGGTAAGTTAGATGCTAAATGACATACAGCTCTGACAAGCTGGAAATTATTTATCTGTCAAGGGATCTAGAAGACCATGTAGAGAATGTAGCACTAAGAAAACTCAAAAACACTTGTGTGTAGCCATTACAGGGTACCTTTATGTGTTACCCCATGTTTCTAAAAGTTTCATGCAATAAAATAAATTGGCTAATAAGGAACAATTTTTCTAATGCCTCATACCACCTATCATACCTCTAGAGTCCGGGGTACATATGTCTCTCACATGCTAATTATCAAAATCCATCTTAACAAAAATTTAACATGACTCAAGTTAGTCAACATGCATTCCACTACTAAAAACATTCGTATCAGCCAAATTGAACAAGCATCAGAATAATTTGATCATGAAAGGGTTAGATCGTTTGGCAGCTTCAAGTGGAGAGAAGAGACCATTATTAAAAGAAGTGTTAATATTGTAAGAAGAAAAAGAATTAAATGCAGCCCTGAGTGAAGTAGTAGAAAGTATCCATAAGGTTTAGGTATTTTGATGTCATTGGTAATTTTACGTACTTTTTCAGATGGCATATGAGTAAACTGTAGGAAGTAGAGACAGTATAAATAAACCAAGTCACCAGGAGAAGAAAAAAATAGAAGCTACCTATTTTTGTCCCCATAAACTGCTTACATTTGTAGCACACATTGAAGATTTAATTTTTGTGAAATACTTTAGAACATAGATGAATGAATTTTAACACAGGTAGTCTTTGTCATCTGTGTCAGATATAATAATAATAAAAGCACATGTTGTTGTTAAGTGCTGTGGAGTCAGTTCCGAACCATAGCAACCCTGTATAGGGTTTCCGGGGAGATGATGGTGAGTTTGAACTGCCAACTTTGTGGTTCATACTGGCCTCTCTTGTAGGTCCAGTGCTTATCCTGCAGCACCACACCAGTACTACAAAAATGAAGTGATAAATTAGATTGCATTTCATAGTGGTCTGAGAAAGATCTTATTCTTTGATCTAGAGGCAAATAATGAAGAGATTAAGGACTCACACCTGTAATCAGCTGGTTTGGGTTGCAGTGTGTTTTATTACTAGTTATTGATCTTAGGCAAGTTTCTCAGGGAGTCCATGCTTGTACTGCTTACCGAAAGTTACCTTATTGTGTGTTACTAACACACTCCTGGACTAGGCACCTCGCAATTTATTTGAACAAATCAGCCATTGAAATTTAGTGGAGCATGGCTTTATTCTGACATGTTACCGGTCATCATGAGTCAGAATCGATTCCATGGCAAGTAAATGGAAGTTTAAAAATTTCTAAGTCTTGGTGTCCTTCAGTGTCTGATAAATAATGGCCTTCAAATCTTTGTTAAGATATTTTATACAAGTTGGTGGGTTTTTCCTTCCTTTTTTTGAGAAGAAGAAGAAGAAAAAAATACAATTATTGTTTGTGCTTCCAGGCATTGATTTTGCTTGCTTTAACTTTTTACAACATTGGTCTCATGCAATATTTGTTCTTTTGTGATTGACTAATTTTACTCAGTATAATGTCCTCCAGGTTCATCCATGTTGTGAAATATTTCACAGATTCATTGTTATTTATTATTGCATAGTATTTCATTGTGTTTGTGCCAAAGTTTGTTAACTATTCCTTCTGTTAATTGGCATTTAGGCTGGCTCCATCTGTTTGATGTGTCTCTTATAGACAGCCTATTAAAGGATCCTGTTTTCTTATCCTTTCTGCACTCTCTGTCTCTTGACTGGTACATTTAGTCCATGTACATTGAGTATAATTATCGGTAGGTATGAATTGAATGCTGTCATTTTGCTGATTGTTGTTTTCTTGTGTGTGTGTGTGTGGTGTTGTTGGTTTCTTTGTTCCACATGATTTTCTGCACTGAGTTAATTTTGTTTATGAGTTTTCTTTTCATTTTCTTCATTTCTGTTGTGTTAATGTTCACTAAATCACTCTAGTTTTCCTCTTTTTTTTTTGATGTTCAGATGTAAGTGCAACCTCTTTGAGTTTATCCTGTAATTTATTATTTTTCTCCTATTTAAAAGTTTTTTTTTTTTTATCGTGAAATCTACTTCCTTGCCATTTGGAAGGTCTGTATCTTCACTATTCCCTCTTTTTGCTTTGTAGTTGACTTCATTATACATTGATTTCACTGGTTCCTTGTTATCTTTTTTGTAGGTTTGTTTTACTTTAAATACTTCTATATCTGAATTGTTTTGGTGGTAGTGTCATGTATGGTAATCTCAGGTTGTTTGCTGTTGCTGGTTCTCAGTCCAAATAATATCCTTAAAACATTTTTTGTGAAGTTTGTCTAATCATGTCAAATTCCTTTAATTTCTGTTTATCAAGAAATGTCATAATTTCAACATATTTTAAAGACAGTTTTTCTAGGTGTATGGTTCTTGCTTGACAGTTTTTTGTCTTTCAGAGTTTTATATGTCATCCCATTGCCTTTTTTCCTACATTGTTTCTGCTCAGAAATTAGCTTAGTCTTATTGGTTCTCTTTGTAAGTAACTTTTCATTTTTCCTGATCTGCTCTCAGGATTCTTTCCTTATCTTTGGTTTTGGAAAGTTAGATTTTTATATATCTTGGTGTTTTCCTTTTATGCTTTATCCTGTTTGGGGTTTGTTTAGCTTCTCATATGCTTATCTTCTCATTTTTCCATGATGTTAGGAAAGTTTTCTTTCGACAATTTTCTCTGGTTTTTATGTTTCTTTCTGTTCTGGAACTCCAGTTACCCATAGGTTGTTGCTCTTCATGGTGTCCCACATAACTCAGGCTTTCTTTTCATTTTTTCATCTTTTTTCTGATTGTTCTTCTACCATGCTAGTGTTGAGAGATAAATCTTCAAGCTCACTAATTCGAGCTTTCATTGCTTCAAATATTTGTCCTTTCAATGTATTATCCATTTATAAGATTTTGGTGTTAATCTTCTGAATTTCTAACTACAGGTGTTGTGGTCTTTGAATATTTGCATTTATTTTGTCCATTTGTTCTTGTAGTGTTTTCTTGAATTCTTCTAAAGTTTTTTTCTGTGGTCTTGCTTTCATCAATTTTTTTTGTCAGTACTTTAAAAGTACCTAAATATCATTCTTTTGTATTTTTTTCTAGTTAGTTCCATTACCTTTCCCTAAAAGTATTTTCCAGTCCTGCATCTTGATCATTTGTTTGAGACATTCTCTCATGTTTCTTTGTGTGAGCTAAAATTGTCTATTGTCTCCGGGGAGTTGTGGGGTTTGTGTGGAACTGATGATTTTATGTTGATGAGTTCTTAGGCTCTCACCATTTGTCTCCTCTGGGAGTAGTTAGAGAATGGAAGCGTATGCACCTATCTGTTTCACATGCACTTATCTGGTTCGAGTACCTCAGTTTAGGGTGGGTGTTGCTGGTATTGGCAGCTGTCTATCATTGATCAGGTGGTATAGGAGTTGGTATTAGCTCTTGCCTGTTGGATGTTGCTGTGGGTATGGTTATGACTGGATTGTATGAGAGAAAACCCTTCCCACATACACAAGAAAACAAAATAGAATAAACAAGCAAGGAGCCAACAATAAATGAAAAGAGGAAATAATAAAGGGAAGGGGGATTAAAATGCAGCAACTAGTGAAAAAGAATAACTTAAAAGACAAAAGAGAGATAGCAAAATGGAGTTGTAAAAGAGGAAATAAACAGAAGAAACTTACAAAGACAAAAAGCGAGCGCGCAGAATAAGGAGAAAGAAGAACAAAAGCTGAGATATAAAGGATAAAATGCAAGGGAATGGAAAGAGAAAGAATAAACAAAAACAGTGAAACAACAAAAGGGGAAAACTAAAAAAAAAAAACAGTACAAAGTGTTGGATCTGAAGCGGTGAAAATTTTGGTAGCCTCTTGTAAGCCAAGAGCTCCCAAGGTGGGTGTGGGAGGGATGTGACCACAGAGTTCCTGGCCTATCATTCTTGGTATTACCTATACTCAGGCACTCGGTCTGGAAGTAGTTCATGGAGACCCTTGATGTAGCTGGTTTCAGTGTCTATTGTGATCACAAGGCAACTGAGGCAGGGTGAATGGTTTAAATGCTGGTGTGGTAGCTTTGCCGGTTTTATAGGTCTGGAGCAAATTCTGCCTGAATCTAGGCACCAAAGTACAATGAACTAAAGTAGCTCAGTGACCCCTGCCTCATGCTGGTGTGACTCCCAACCACTCCCAGAAAGCAGGGTCTGCGCTGAGGGTGGGATCTGGTCATACCTCTGGTTACTTGGAGAGTATGGGGGGAAAGGAGTCACTCCTTTCCTGTCACCTGTGTGAATCTGCTCTTCCAGGCTTGTTGTTAAAGCAGCTCTCAAGATGGCCGCACTGCGTCTGGCCAGCTGTTCACACGTGTCTCTCTCTCTTGTTATCCCTGCTCGGTGTCTCCACCCAGCAAGCACTCAGTCCACTTCTCTAACCTTTTCTCTGAAGTTCAATCTTCCAGAATTTTCATCTGTGTATGTCTCATTTGATCTCTCGTATTTTTGTTATAGAGGGTCCATGTAGTGCATCTTGCCGGAACTCTCTGTGTAAAGGTTTAAGGAAAACTTTTTTTAGTGATGGCATGTAGCGTGTACTGCATGTGATTGTCCTTCTACACCTTTCCCTTCATTTAGGCAAAATGATAGAAGTATAATTTTTTAATAAGATTTAAATTTTTGTAGTTAATTTTTATTTAAACTATATATATTTTACTTGTTACTTGAAAACTTAAGTGTGCTTTTTGTTCTAGGTCCGCTTTATCACTAAAATATGGCATCCTAATATTAGTTCTGTCACGGGGGCTATTTGTTTGGACATTCTGAAAGATCAATGGTAAGACAATTTAAATTCACCTCTCCTCATACTAAGACTATATTTAGAATATTAAATGAATTACCTCAAAAGATAAGCATTTATTATACTTTGTTTTAGCAATAATTTTTAAACTTTTTAAAGTCTTGTAAGTATGTGACTTAAAATGTAGTTGCAATCATAATCCGTATTTTAAAAGAAACCTGTTATGTGATAACCAGAAATTCTAGTTTTGCATTTGAAGTCTTGGATTTAATTTGTTACTTCAGTATTTTTTATTTTTTTGCTTTCTGAAAAATATTTGTGAAATACAAAGTTTAAGTATTGAAGCAATGAATTCAGCTCTGACTTACTTGGAATCTGTTGTTAAGTGAGTCTATTCCAAGTAATAGATACCTGTATAGGGTTTCTGAGGAGCCACCTGGTGGATTTGAACCACCAGCCTTATGGCTAACAGACCAGTACTTATCCTGCAGTGTCACACCAGGAGTCCATATAGAATGTGGAAAGCAAAAATGTTAGAATTTGTGTTCATTAAACAACGTGAAAGTTCTCAGATTATATGGAGATTTGTTTGTAGGTGATATTTTCATTTTTGCATAGCACTTTATAGTGCTCTCAAGTTTGTTTTTCTGGCTCGATCTTAAGGCATACTGTTTCAAGAGTTCCTATACTCTGACTCTTAACTGCCCTACATTCCTAGCTGTGCCATTTACTAAGCTGCATGGTCTTAAACAACTTACCTAAAGTCTGTGAACCATAGTTTCCTCATTTGTAAAATGAAGTCAGTAACACCTGCATCATAGTGCTATTGAAGGGATTAAATGAATTCTTTTATGTAATGTCTTCTAGTGGAACGACATATTCTAACAATGATGAATATGGTGATGATGATTAGGCAGAAGATCACTATGTTAAATATTAAATGATGTTAAGACATGATTTATAGATATAAAAACTAATACAAGTATAAAAAGCCATTCTAGTAGAAGGAAACAATAAATTTAGGAAAAAATAAGTGGATGTATGTTGACGTTTTTTCCTTTGGTTTTACTCTTTCAAGAAAAAGAATTAGAAAAATGAGAAGCATAGTGATTTCGCATTGGCATGTATGACTAAAAGTGTCTATTTAAAAAATGACAGCACATAACAATTGCATGTAACAATGCTACTCTTCCAAAACACTAATGCAGGCAATTTGCTAAAGAGAATTTCTAGACAGCCAGTAAACTATGTTGTTGTTAGGTGCCATCGAGTCAGTACCACCGACCCATAGCGACTTTATGCACACCAGAACTAAACACTGCCCGATCCTGGGCCAACCTCACTACTGTTGCCACACTTGAGTCCATCCATATTGCTGCTCGGCCAGTCCATCTCATTGGGGATTTTCCTCTTTTTCTCTGACCCTCCACCTTACCAAACATGATATCCTTCTCCAGTGACTGGTCCCTCCTGACAATATGTCCCAAGTACGAGAGACGAAATTTGGCCATCTTGGCCACTAAGGAGCACTTTGGCCGCACTTCTTCGAAAACGCATTATTGGTTCTTTTGGCAGCCCATGGAACTTTCAGTATTCTC